TCTTCCCCGCGGTAGCTGGGGACTATAGCAATGCCACCACCATGCCCGGCTAATTTTTTCTATTTTTAGTTGTTTGGCTAATTTCTTTCTATTTATAGTAGAGATGGCGGTCTCGCTCTTGTTCAGGCTGGTCTCGAACTCCTGGGCCTCAAGCAGTCCTCCCGCTCAGCCTCCAGAGTGCTAGGATTACGAGGAGTGAGCCAGCACGCCCGGCCTCCCTACTATTTCGTGAGCAAGAAATATACTTCTATCCTGGGAGCCCCGGGTCACCTCCTCAGCGGCCGGCGGCGCCAGTGGCGAGAAGGCACGCTAGCGGGCGGGTCAGCGCACTGGCTGCGGCCGGTGGGGGCGGGGGGCTGGCGACAAGCAGGAAGCTGCGACCGCCAGCGTGGCGGCTGGCGGAACCCGGCACCAGGAGGCGGCGGCGCAGCAGGTCGCATGGGCTGCCCCCCTGGCTCAGCGTTGTGGACCGAGCCTGCTGAGCGACAGGGAGCTGTTAAAAACAAAAGAAACAAACACACGCGGGCGCGGTGGCCACGCCTGTAATCCTAGCCTCTGGGAGGCTAGGCGGGCGGTTGCTCAAGGTCAGGAGTTCAAAACCAGCCTGAGCAAGACCCCGTCTCTACTATAAATAGAAAGAAATTAAATTGGCCAACGATTATATATAGTAAAAAATTAGCTGGGCATGGTGGCACATGCCTGTAGTCCCAGCTACTCGGAGCTGAGGCAGTAGGATGCTTGAGCCCAGGAGTTTGAGGTTGCTGTGAGCTAGCTGATGCCACGGCACTCACTCTAGCCTGGGCAACAAAGTGAGACTCTGTCTCAAAAAAAAAAAAAAAAAAAAAACAAAAAACAAAAAACGGCTCTTGTCCAGCTCCTGTAGTAGAAAAATGTGCGGTATCTTCTGCATTGTCATCATAGTCTCCAAGAGAAGCAAGCAAGCTAGAACACGGAGGATACGCTCAGGCGCCTTAAACGAAATTCTGATTAGAACAATGGATCATTTAACTGGAAAGCTCTATCGGGAAGCTCTGGTTATAAGTTTTGTTGTTCTTGCTGAGATGTGAGTTTCATGCAGGCACGGTCGCGGAGGAGATAACATATCCTCCAACTTTAGAGGAAATCTGGGACGAAACCCAACATTTAGATATTGTTGGCTCGGAGCAGAAACAATGGCAGCAGTAATGACTGGAGGCATTAGCCAACAATCTGGAAGTTGAAGTATTTAATAATAGGTGCGAAGTATGCTTTTCAAGCCCAAGTACAACTTGAAAGAAAAGAGGGCCTACTTAGGCTCTTAAACATGACCAGACCAGCATTAGGAGGGATTCTTTTACGAAGGCACAGCAAGAAGGACTGCCCAATTCCCACAAAGTTTGTCAGGCTTTAGGGGGACCAGATACTGTTTTTAAATTGTCCTGATAAAAGAAAACACAGTAATCAAGACAGGCGTGGTATTGGGTAAAGAACAGACAAATGGGTCAATTGAACAGAATAGTCTAGAAATAGACCCCACACAACATATAATCTATTGATTTTTTTCTTTTTTTCTTTTTAAAGACCATCCTTATTTCTGAGTCTATTGATTTTGGCAAAGAGACAATAGGCAATACAATGGAGAAAAAGATGGGGTTTTTCAACAAATGGTGCTGGAACAACTGGACAGCAGCATTTGAAAGGAAAAGTGAGGTGGGTGGATCGCTCGAGGTCAGGAGTTCGAAACCAGCTTGAGCGAGACCCCGTCTCCACTAAAAATAAGAAGAAATTAATTGGACAACTAAAAATATATATACAAAATATTAGCTGGGCATGGTGGTGCATGCCTGTAGTCCCAGCTACTCGGGAGGCTGAGGCAGGAGGATCCCTTGAGCCCAGGAGATTGAGGTTGCTGTGAGCTAGGCTGACGCCACGGCACTCATTAGCCTGAGCAACAAAGTGAGACTCTGTCTCAAAAATAATAATAATAAAAAAAAAAAGATCTTGTCTCAATACAAGATAAATAAATAAAT